TAATTCTAATGAACTGAACCAAAATACATTTGATGATATATGTTATCTCATTGTCTACAAAGATCATGATGTTGTATAACTCTAACCCCTGTCGCACTCCATGCAGATATTGCAAGCAACAATGAGTTCATTTTGCAAGTGTTTCCCTAGATTGCTTAAATGTCAAAATTATTTGACACCAAGCAGGAACTTTCTTATCAAAATCTCCTTTGAACCAGAGAAGGGAAACCACAAATGAAGTCCCAAGATTTGTCGCAAAGTAAATAATTTATAATTTTAACAAAAAATAAAAAATTAAAATAGGCCTAACACAGAGTATGATGAATGCATTACATCTTAATTGTACCAACCATTGTTTAAAATTACATAATAAGAGGCGTGCCTCAGCTCAAAAAAAATAACATGAGGTTTACGCCTCACCTTGAACTAATAAGGCGTACTACTCAGTAATGTTCTATGCAATTTGTAAGAAGTGTTAGCCACAAAAATAAGGTTTCGATAATTAATTTTTTAATTAATAAATCTAATATAAAAAATTACTCTTATTTTATTATTTTTTACACATAAACCTAAAATACGCAAATCAAATCTCCCAAAGGCACGCACGTCTCGATTCCTAGCCAATATCGCTGAAACTGCTAAACCCAAGCCTCTGCTTTTTATTGATTAGGGAACAAGAGGAAATGGTAGAGATCGGAGATGAGGAGAAATATTGAGGGGATGTGGACACAATTGAGAGTGAGGAAGGAGAAAAATCAATTCACTATAATATTAATTCTAACAAAAACTTACTGAGTGATTGGAGAGGATCAGACTTGTTTATGTTGAATTAGGAGTGGGAGAGACTTATTATTAAGATTTCGTTTAACTTGTCATAATCTTACTTTGATTTAATACTTAAATGTTATTATGTTACTTAGTATTTCATATTTTTTAATATTTTAATCATTTAATTATCAGACTTACATCTCAATATGCCTCAAAACTTATGCCTAGCCCCATGAACAGAAAAAACCTCAATGCTCGATCAAGCAATTCCAAATATTGGTAGCAACGATTAGGGAGTGTATGCGATACAACACATCATATCCTTGATTTTAAAAACAATTGTCAAAAATTACACCTAATCATATAAAATTTTACTAAGACCAATAATAAGTAGAGTTATTTTACAGCAATATATATCCATAGATCCATTAAAAAAAGATCATTTATCCATTCTCTCATTTATCCAATGCATGCTATTTATTTCTTTTATACAAATTTATATTGTTATATCTCTTGAATTATGCTTTGTTGTGTTATGACTACTGTGTTACATTTCTTAAATTGCACATGTATATACTTTTTATCTATCATTTGTTATATATTTATTCTTTCATTAATCCAATGACTATTTTTTATCACTGTTGTAAATATTTATTTTTTAATTAATCATTTCAATTCAAATATATTGTCTTATATCTCTTGAATTATACTTGAATGTCTTATGACTGTTATATTAAATCTATTGAATTGCACACTATTCTATTATATCTTTTGAATAACACCATATTATGTTATAGCTAATTCTCTTGAATTGCATTTTTTTGTGCTATGAATATTGTGTTAAATCTCTTGAATTTCACTTTGTTGTGTTATAGCTCTTAGAACACGCTCTACTTTATCTAACTCAAAATCTAATGTATCATAGATGTTAAGATCGTACTCACTTATAATCTAATGTGTTATAACTTTATTGGAATGCACTATGTTATATTTTGTAAGAAAACTGAAATGGACCCAAGTGTGGTTATGGCTCTCAGCTTATTGAATTCTCCAAGAACCGAATGGTGATGTGAAGTGAAGAGATAATTGTGACCCGTTGCTTACGCAGAAGCAAGAACCTTTAAGTGTAATAACGCCACAATCAACTATGGATAATTGGTTAATAATGTAGGGGAAAACACAATTGAAAAATTCGGATGAGTTCTCATTCTCTACAAGAACCATGAGAATTCAAAATATATCAACCAACAAAAAATGGTTTCTTATTTCTCCCTCATGCCTTAAATAGGATTCCAATAAAACACAACAAATAAAGCCCAAAAACACGCCTACATAATTTTGGGTATTAAAATAATAAAGTAAACCAAAAGAAAGACTTAGATTCCTAATGGCCCTTAAAAACAAATTTATTTATTAAACTAAAATTTGAACACAATGTTTAAAACTGCGCAATTGGATATTGAGGCATTTTTTATTCATAAGGCGAGACGTAAGCCTCAAGGAGTTTTGAGGCGTAAGCCTCAAAATCTAAAAATTGTGTTACGTGATAATAAAAGTCAAAAGTAATTTTTTATATAATTTCCTATTGAATTATGAATTAACAAATTTGATACATATGAAATAAAAAATTGCACAAGATATAAAATGACAAGTGATAAATTGCGTAAAATAGATTTTAAATTCAAATATTATAAGAATAAAATAATATTAAATATATAAATTGTATAAAAGTATAATATAACATTAAGTCCAACTCCAAATTTCTTCTTTCTCAATTTTCTAGTCCTTTACATTTAATTTCTAATGAAAGCTGAAATAGTTGACAACAACTTAGAAATCATATGCATTGTCATCACTGAGGTGGTCTTTATCTGAGTTATCGTCATAACAAATTGGTTTATCACCTGTCTCATTCGGTAGAGTCGAAAGCCTCGCAACATGCTTCTTCTTAATTTATTTCAATCATGTTCAACTTTTAGAAATATTTTCATCAACATAAATATAAGATTAATGCTCCAAAATTTTTAGGGTAGTGGTGTGCAGCTTTCAAGTGATTGTCGGTGACGGCTACGACGGTGTTGGCTATGGCGAAGGCCACAAGCTGGAGGTAGAGGCAATCGAGAGGAAGTTATTGAGCTCGAATGTACATGAATGCGTGATTTATATTAGTTTTAACAAAAATATGTACAAATTGGGTAAGGCGTAAGCATCACGCTAGCGAGGCGAGGCATGCCTCAAGGTGAGCCTCAGCCAAGCCAAGGCGCAAGCCTCATAAAAAAGCTAGAGGCGTAAGCCTCGAGGCGTTTTGCACTAGAATTGCACTGAGGTGGGCCTCAAGGAGAGCCTCATATTGTGCAATTTTAAACAAAATTTGAACAATAATATAAAATAAAATCTGAATTATAGTTATTACTTGTAAAAATCATACACCTGCATTATTTCATATCTTCATCAAATTACTTTAGAAGTTGATAGCAAAATTCCATCTTTGAGTGACACCTATGGGCCTCCACGAGTTCTCTTGAGCCTATGTAGCTTGAATTAGCTCATAAAATGCTTGTTTGAAATTCTTATATATACTCTTATCACAAGGCCAATGAGATCTTGAATTGGATCGGATATGCCTCAATTAACGTGTTTGTCTTAGTGCAAGTGTTATTCCGATCATAACCCATATTCAAATCTTGTTCAAACCATAATCGAATCATCTTCTAAACCAGTTTGAACTTCATTCATACTCTGTTAGAATAGGTTTTAAACAATGATGAAACCTTGCACAAATAAGGTTTAAGCATAACTCGAATATGCATTGAACCTTGTTTGATATGGTTCTAGCCTTGTTCTAACAAGGTTCGAATATGGTCAAAACCTTGCTCGAATATATTTCCAAAATTGTTCGAACCTATGTCGTTTGAGGCAAACTTTAAATAAGTACTCCAAAATCAAAATTGTGGATATTTGGTCCAAATTGAACTTTAAGACATTTTTCAAGAAAACAAACAACAAACATATTTCTCCAAATTCGAATATTATCAAGCATATAAAGTAGGAGTTGTCCAATTTATATTGGCATGAACTATAAATAAGCATTCTTTCCTTAATCAAATTTTCCTAGAGTTTAAAATTCAAGGTTTAATTTCATCTTTGAAAATAAGTGCCATGGTAAACCATCATCATAAGCATTTCTCCACAGAGGTTGCATCTCTAAGGAACCACAACTCTTACTAAAACTAACACCATATCACTAGCTAAATTTTATTATTATAAGAATCGAAACTATTATACTAACTTTTCATCAAAGGAAAACACGAGAAAGGAACTTCCTAACAGAAAAGTAGCTTGTAAAGAAGAGTTACAAAAATAAACGGAAATGCAATAAAATTATAATTGAATTTGCATCCAGATACAAAGTCAAACATGAAACTACTAGAGATGTAACCAAAAACAAATATGAATATGGAAGCAAAACAAAATCAGCAGAAATTAAACATCGAAGTATGATATAAAAGGGTAACAACATTCAATTTTCATGGGGCAATGAGCATATTTAAGCAGCTACATTGAGCATAATCATATATTGCCAGCATTGTTGATTATATTCGACATTTATTTGAAAGTTTGTAAAAGTATTATGATACGTTAGGCAAACACAATACACACTAACTAAAAAACTATTCCTTCACCCATTCAATATAGTGCAGCTGAAATATATGATAGACAGGTTCCCTTGAGGTTCAAGGTATCATATTAGGTGATATCTATGTACCAAAATAACAATGAAGCATCATAGTGACAACTGTGTGGCACCCCAATTTTCTCTTGGTGATTAATTACCCTTAGACAATTTTCTAGGACCTTTCTTTATTAGATTTAAACGAGAATTTGACTTTTAATAGGACACAATGGAGAAAAAGGATTCATGTAGCCGACCCCACGTAGTGGGATAAAGGCTTGATGTTGTTGTTGTTGTTGTTGTTGTTATTGATTAATTACCCGTAGCTTAACAGGAATGTTGGCAAACAAAGAAAATTGGATAACAAAAGAATAGCTCCTGCAACTGGGTGGTATCATTAAAACCAACTCAATCAATAATCTAAGACAGCATAAAGGTAAAACATGAACATTGCAGAATTTAAACATGGTTTCACATTTCAGTCCAAGAAAAACATAATTAAACTAAGAAAGTTTTGTAGTATAATTTAAAAGAAGAAAAAAATGAATATGGATGGTACCTTCCTAACTTAGACTATGGCACAGCCATATGTAGCACAGAGCTGACTAAGTGCATTTTGATTGACTGGATCCACAAACTTCTCAATTATCCCTGGGTATCTTCCTGGACTATGTGCAGATAGTCCAGCAATAGATTTGATCAGAAATTCCTTTGGGTCCTTAGTCTCTTTTAAGGGATCATCCTCATTCTTCCCAGCATTATGCAAGCGAGCAAAGGATGCCGAGTAGCCTACAGTTTCAGGAACATCCATTAATTCATTTTCTAAATCAACTCTGGTTTGCCCTGGTTGGACAAGCAAAGAAATTATACTATCAAGCATCTTGCCCCATAGTTCAACCGTTGAAACATCTAATAGAGTGGGAGACTCGCAAATTAATCTTGTAGAGGCAACTGAAGTCAATTTCACTTCGATGGAACCTGAAATCAACTTTAGATTCGGAATCCAGAAATTCTTTATGATAACTAAAAATATGTTATCTTGAACTGCATTTATGGAGTCAACGAGAACAACAGGACCATGTTTCACCAAAACCAGTGACATGAATACAACAAGAGAGTTCACAAACTTTACAGTCGATCTATTTTGCAGCTGATAAAATAGAACAGACCAGATATGAGTAATATATTGCCCAATCATGTCAAATCCAAGGTTCTCCACAACAGTATTGAGCACGTAAAATCCCAGATCTTCAGTGCTGGATATTGAGACAAGCTTTTTGAATATCCAAAGGACTTGACTCAATCTCCCCTCATTGTTAAGTTCTGCATTTGGAACTTTCTGAAGGTATGCCCGCAACAGGCGAACCAGAGCTGGAGCATTTGCGGACCTCATCCAAGTTTGTGGCATGAGAAGAACTTTGAAAAGCTCCATGTAATTATGTGAGAGAGGCGGCCTGCTTATCTCAACAAGTTGGGCAAATATCTGAAATGCATATGGCCAAAATTCAGTCACATCATTCCTTAGAATATTTTCAAGGACGGGGAAAAGTGCTGCTTCAAACACTGTGATCAGTGATGGTTCTTTTTCACATGTTCGCCGGACTAAAGCAGCAATTGCCTCAAATAGATAATGATTGAAGACCGGGTTTATGGGATTTTTACACACTTCTGCAAGAACTGAAACGAGGAAAGCAATGCAGTGCCTAGCAACATCACCACTAACATCAGCAACCTCAAGAACCCTCATGATGCACTTCATAATATAATGATTCTCCTTCGAATCGGGCAACTGTAATGCTTCAAAAAGATTTCTCATTAATGATGCCAAGTGGGGATTAATATCCAAAGAACCATACCGTGGCTGCAAGGCCACAACATTTGGACCTGATTCATGCACTGGAGATCTATCCCTTACCAGCAAAAGCTTCTCTATACAATTTGCGGCATAAGAATGAACAACATTCGAATTAGCTCGAATAAAATTTATCACGTCTGACAAGAGAGCAATTGCTGTGTGCTTGGGAATCTGTTCACGAAACACCGTAAAGAATTTTAAAGCAGAAGCCTGCAAAATTCCTCCATCATTCACACTTTTCCCCAGAAACTCAGGAACTACAACAGAAGTGAAGAAGCTTTCCACATCTACAAGCTGAGCCTCTCCACCTGCCTTTGTTGCCAGTGAGGTCACCAGATAAATTGCAGCATCCTTTTCCTTCCAGTTCTCTGCCTGGTTTGCAGAATACATTGCCAGCATTTTCTGTATCTGACCCGATACCAATGTTATTACCTGCTCCTTATAGTTTGTGGCCAACCCTTTCAAAAGCTCGCAGGCAATTCGCCTCCTGGTACCCACATCGCTTCCTTCAATATCTCTACGTATATACTCAACAAAATTCATCTCAAAGAGCTCCTCGTCATCATCCCGAAGCCGTATGTTTGGGAATACAATGCTCTGGCAAATCTGCTGAAGGGTTTCTGGACTCCCAAAGAGAGAGTGGTGGACACTAGTGCTGACCGTAGTGAGGAATCGGATCGCCGTGATGGTAAGCTGATCACGAGAGGGCGAAGAAGCCTGAGTCAATAATAGATTCCAGACAGCAGCAGCAAAATCCTTGAGGTAATCCTTAAACTCCTCTTCATTCTTCTCCATATAGAGTTGGAGATTGTCACATACTGCAGAGCGAAGGGCATCAACAGTTCCATCAGCCTCCAGGGCTGCTGTGTATGTGTTGGTGAGGTAGCTCAGAAACTCGGTCATCCACTCTCTCATGTGATCTTCAAAGAACTCAGGAAGCTCGATGGAGTTAAGAGAATAGAAGATCTCACAGCAGAGACGCTGGGACTCAAAGAGGAGGCGAAGGGCATCAGGGGATAGCGACGCAGATGCAATGCTTCCGGAGATGATCTGAGAGGTCTTGAGGAATATATCGAGAAGAGGAGCCGCAAAACCATCAAGGCAGTACTTCAGGTCGAGGCGAAGAGCAGAGGTATCAAATGCGTGGCGGAACTTAGAGAAGATTGAGTTGGCCGCACCGAGGAGGCCGTTGATCTTGGCATAGTCTTTCTCAGAGCGGAGGTATGAAACTAGTTCCGGCAGGAGGCTGGGCCAGGATTGCGGGAAATCGTAAGAGGAAATGATGGAGAGGGACTCACTAAGTTGACTACGGATGCGAGGGGAAGAAGAGAGCATGAGGGAAACGATGCGATCCTTGATCACTGTTTTCTCTGGACCGCGGATGGGGAAGGAAGAGGAAGGGGGCCATCGGGAGCGGAGGTGGTTCTTGAAGTGGACGGCGGCCGCGAGGCGAATTTGCTCGTCGGCAGCGGGCTCGGAGACGAGACGGAGGACAGCAAGGGAGAAACCATGCTGGTTGGCGGCGTCGGAGAGGGAGGACTCGGAAGCGCGGCGTGGCTCGGCGAGGGGAGATAAGGAGAGAAGAAACCACTCGGAGAGAGTTGTTAGGGTTTGCGGGGAGATATCCATTAGAAGAGGAACTAAGGAAAAAAAATGCGACTTACAAGTGTAAGAGACAGCGTGAGAAGAAAGGGGCTGAGCTCGCCGGCGATTGAAAGATCGTAAACTAGAATGAGAATGGGGCGTTTGTTCGACAATGACAAGGGTTTTCCGGAATTACCTGCAGCTGTCGCTGGCGGTCTCAATTTTTTGTGAAATTTGATTTTATATGCTAATATTATTTAAATGTATAAGTTATTTTTCATTATATATGTATACATATTAGAAGAAGCATGATGTTTAATTAAATTAAAAATATAAATAAAATATTAAAAAAATTATAAAAAGAAAAAAAGCAAATTTGCGTGCATTTTGTTTGAAGTTTTTACTAGAGAGCCAAAATGTTTAAGAATGCATAAGGGGAGCTAGACAAGACTTAGGCTTCGTTTGGGACGACTTTTTTGTTGCTTCTTAAAGCAGCTTTTTAGTATAAAAATACTAGAAAGCTGCTTTAAGAAACAACAAGAAAGTTGTCCCAAATGAAGCCTTAATCAAAGTGTCTAATTTGGGCAACATTTGACTAACATGGAATATTGGATTAGCAGAAGGTACTAATTGTCTATATAGGGAATAAAAAAGTTGGGAAGTGTTTAGGGGGGTCAAGTCTAAAGTCTTTGGTGGGAATCTAAGGGGTTTAGAGGGTGGTGGAAGAGGATTAAAGGCCAAAATTTGCCCTAATTTTGTTGACCAATTCAAGGAGGTTTGAAGATTTCTTTTAATTATTTTTGTAAAGTAAAGAGAAAATGTATAAAATGATGTTATGATGCTAGGAGAAAAGGTCATGAGAGAGATCCGCAAGTAGAAAAGGGAAATTTAGGGCTTTCATTAGGAAGAACATAAAGAGTGGGATTCAACCTCCATGTTCTCAACCACAGAGTTTTCACTATTTATTTTTATTATCAAAATACAAATAGCCCTTCTTCATTTACTCAAGCAAAATTTTAAAATATTACATTAGGTTGTAATATTTAATTTTTTTAAAAAAGGGGAATTAAAACCTAAGTGAAAGCATTCTAACTAGTGTCCCATAATGGAAGACTGATGGAGTTAAGAGGCTCGAAGATCTCACAATAGAGGTGTTGGTACTCAAAGAGGAGGAAATGCCAATTGGGGAATAGAGAGCCAAATGTAATACTTTTAGAGGTCTAAGAGGTTGATGTAACACATGGAAATAATCCAATCACTAGGAAAAGGAAATTTTTGTGACTTAGTTTTCAAATCTATGCTTTTATATCATGTAAGTTTTTAATGATATCAAAATATTATTGTGCTGATTATTATTTCTTCTAACACATATTGGAAAAATTTTTATTTGTGTATTTGTGTGTACTAATGTTTCAGATAAATCATATTCTAGACTGTCGAAGACTTCAAGTCATATTAGATTAAGATTTTTTGTAATTGAAGTCTGAACTTTTTTCTCTTTTTCTTGAGTTTGTGAGATTATGACTGTAATTGGGTAACCGTACACACACATACTAGGAGAGTGAGTCAAAACTTATATTTTTAAAACTAATCGTACTATACGATTCTAGAATCGTACTAGACAATTTGACATGTGCGTTCCTCTAGAAAGGAGTTAATCGAATCATGCCTTAGACTTTTTTTGTAATGTTCGTACTGTATGAATATTGGTTCGTATAGACAATGTCCAGAGTACGAAATGGATACATACCAGTTAATCCCGAACGAACTCACCATTTTCTGAACTGATCGTACTGTATGAAATAAGTTTCATACATATGACGTTCAAAGTACAAAATGGGTGCAAACTAGCTCGTCCCATAAGAACAGATAAATTTTTTAAACTATTTATACTATACAAAATTACTTTTGTACATATGATGTCCATAGTATGAAATGGGCTCATCCATATTCGTAATATACTATATGATATGGAGTTTGGACAGACGACGATCATAGTACGAAATGGGTTCGTACAAAATCGTACAAGACAAACTTATTTAATTTTGAACTATTCATACTATATAATGTCAGTTCGTATAGATGATTAACAGAGTACAAAATCAGTTCATCTAGGATTGTATAAAGATTTGTTGAAATATTCATACGTATGAAGTATGATGGTACTGTACGATCCATGACGGTCAAATTAAAAATTTCAATTTTCTAGATGGTTTTTCTTACTTTCATATTTAAGAGTCCTAAAAGCTGACTGACTTAGAACTCCTACTACAAATTTCTTTTGAGAGTGTGCTTGGAGAGTGTTTGGGAGAGTATCTTGGGATTGGAGAGTGAGAGATCTCTTAAATGGGAGTTGTGAGGGAATTCACTAGTTTGCCCAATGATTAGGATCTCTTGCTTGTTCTTCAAAGTTTTTCCTACTTTCTTGAAGACTCTTGAAAGAAGATTTTCAAATGAGATCTGGTACTCTGCCGAAACCAAGAGGATGTGAAAAGATGATGATACTCTACCAACACTAGGAAGGTATGAAAGGATGATGATACTTTGCTGATATTAGGAGGTATGAAAGGATGCCACTTCTCTGCGATCACCAAGAGGGTGAAAAAGGACAACAGTACTCTACCGTACTGGGGATTAGTTGAAGATAGATTAATTGTAAGGGCTTTTTAGCATTGTTGTGGGAGCAAAAGGAGAGTCACTTTAGTATAGTGCAATACCTGAAGGAGTCTTCAGGGAATAGATATAGGTCCAGTTGGACCTAACCACTATAAAATTATGTGTTCTTTTATTTTTACTTTTTAACTACATTTTTATTTTCTTCAATTTTTTTAATTTTATGGTTGAAAAAATATTTTTTAAAAATTTATCATTATGATTAAAATTTCTAAATTTGTTTTCTAAATTACCAAGAGTTTTTTAAATTACTAATTCACCCCCTCACTTGGTAAGCCTTAGGATAATTATATTAAGTCTAATAGCCTATTCGAACTTTCAAGTGGTATTAGAGCCTACTTTTGATAATTAAGATTTAGACAACCTTTTAAAAATGATCAAGGCTACTTTTGGGAACTGTAACACACCTGAAGGATATTCAATCACTAGACCACCACTACTTTATAACATCCCTTTTGATTTTTAGAAAATCCATATATCTATTTTTCTTCAATTGCTTGACTATTGCATGTAGATTTTAGTATAGGAAGGATACACTAGACTGACTAGACTTATAGATGGAATTATAATTGAAACAACATTTACGGATTGGATGGTAGAGAAAAAAGAATTAGCTCAGTTGAATGCTAAATGTTTAAACAGCTTTTTTGGTGCACTTAAGTCTAAGGACTATATGCGTGTTTCAACTTATATAATGAGAAAAGAAATTTGGGAAAGATTTTGCATAATATATGAAGGAACTAATGAAGTGAAACAGTCTAAATTGAACATTCTATTACATGACTGTAAACTTTTTTGCTTGAAAATAAATGAATCAATTACTAACATGTACACTCATTGTACACATATAGTCACTTCATTGCATGCATTAGGTAGAGAACTATCAAACTCTGAGAAAGTTAATAAAATTCTTTATTGTTTGCCTACTGCATATGATACAACTTGTTATGGGAGCAAAAAGAGAGTCACTTTAGTATAGTGCAATACCTGAAGGAGTCTTCAGGTAATGGATATAGGTTTTGTTGGACCTAACCACTATAAAATTATGTGTTCTTTTATTTTTACTTTTTAATTGCATTTTTATTTTCTGGAATTTTTTTAATCTTGTGGTTAAAAAAATTATCATTATGATTAAAATTTCTAAATTGGTTTTCTAAATTACCAAGAGTTTTTTAAATTACTAATTCACCCCCTCACTTAATTAACCTTAGGACAATTATATCAAGTTTAACAACCTATTTGGACTTTCAAGTGGTATTAGAGCCTACTTTCGATAATTAAGATTTACACAACTTTTTGAAACTGATCATGGCTACTTTTGGAAACTATAACAAACCTGAAGGATATTCAATCACTAGACCACCACTGCTTTATAACATCCCTTTTGATTTTTAGAAAATCTATATATCTGCTTTTCTTCAATCGCTTGACTATCACATGTGGATATTAAGTATAGGAAGGATGCACTAGACTGACTAGACTTATAGATGGAATTTTAATTGAAACACCATTTATTGATTGGATGGTAGAGAAAAAAGAATTAGCTCAGTTGAATGTTAAATGTTTAAACAACTTTTTTGGTGCACTTAAGTCTAAGGATTATATGCGTGTTTCAACTTATATAACGAGAAAAGAAATTTGGGAAAGACTTTGCATAATGTATGAAGGAACTAATGAAGTGAAACACTCTAGTTGAACATTTTATTACATGACTATAAACTTTTTTGCATGAAAATGAATGAATCAATCTCCAACATGTACACTCATTGTACACATATAGTCACTTCATTGCATGCATTAGGTAGGGAACTAACAAACTCTGAGAAAGTTAAGGAAATTCTTTATTATTTGCCTACTGCATATGATATAAAGATAACTATAATAATTGAGTTAAAAGACTTAACTATTTATTATATTGACAATCTACTTGGATTACTAATTGCTTACGAGCAAGGAATGATTCAAAGATATATTAATGTAGGTGACAATCATAAGGAGAAAACAATTGCATTTAAAGTGGATGACCCGAGAAGGTGGATTACCCTCACCCCTAATGTTCTAAATAACTTATTTAATCATTGGAAGATGAAATGTTAGAAGCTCGATTAACTCTGAATGTTTAACCGTTGAAGTGCTTATTACTTTTAGTTTTTTTTTCTTTCCAACTTTGGAATCACCTTCCTCGTTCTCCTTGGCAAGTTGATTCGAATGTGTAGACACCATGGAAACATCATTAGTAACTTTTGATTTTCCTTTAAGAGACATGTTAGGCACAAATTCACCTTCCTTCATGTGATTCTCCCTTCTGCCAGCATCATTCTCAGATTTTTCTCCATTGATATGATTTAAAGTATAATATTTTTTAATCAAAGCAACATCATCCCCTTCCTTGTGAAGATCATTTTCATTGTTATGAATTTTGGCCTCTTCCTCCACATGTGACATACCAATAATAGTCGGATCACCTGCCTTATTCTAAAAAAGCAAATCATCCCTTAGAGAGTAATTATCAACATTAGTTTCATGGTCACTAGTCGGGTTG